ACAGTCACAATGTGGTAGTACAGTATATCACGTATCCAAGTGTGGCAATTTAAACACAGTCGTAAAGTAAAACCATTTCGTTTTCTCAAAATTAAACATTCGAACAACAAATTAATTCCTACATTTTGTAACTTTAATTATATGAGACAAAAGAACATTTTAAAACAGCTGTCGCTGAATGATTATGCCATCAGGGCTCTTGGACATGTGTGCATTGAACAGATTACTGAAAATGTTTGCATTCATCAGTTGCCATCCCTCTCTTCATCTGGCAGTGCAGATTAGCAAACTGAAAGCTCTCTTCCCCGAAACATTTAACTGAATAGCTATGGTAGTTTAATTATCGTAAATGGCCTTCAGCACAACTGTTATTGAAGTTTTTAGAAATGTGTAATTAGTTCCCATGCTTTACCACAGCGTAGACGAAGGTATGCTCTTTCACCCCACACAGATGAGTGAGCGGAGAGCAGGTATACAATTATGTGTACAGCACAGTGCTTTTTGTGATTCTTGCAATAGGCTATAGTTTTTAGATGTTAAAGAAGACACTAGGATTCGTTCTGATGTCAAGATGTTTGTCCTAAAAATTGTGGAGTCCTTTGAATGTTGGATGTGAATAGGTACAGGATATATCACCCATTATGATATAAACTAAGGGTGAATAGACATACCTGTACGAATGTGATCACAATTCTGTGACATCAGATAAAAGTATTTAAACCATGGGTCGTGCATGCGTTGTAATGTAAAGTGTTTTATAAAACAGTAGCAGAAACAAGTTTTAATACTGCTTTAATATTACTGGCATTAAAAGATCATTAAAAGTAAAAGCACACATCCTGCACCACAGAAAAAAGACAACAGGGCACCAACATGAAGATCAGAAAATCACCTGACCCGTTTTAAATCAGGATAACATTAAATCGTTTTGAACGCTGCAGCCTGCTCTACCCATACCCCCTTCTTGTGTAATAGGACAGCTTGGCAATTTGAAGAGATGGCTCAGCATCCACAGTAGGATTGTCGTTGGTTTGAAATTGTACACACGCACACATAGGATTCTGCATGTGCAAAGGAGACAAAAGACAGGGCATCGCAAAACTCCTCCTCAGGGCCACCCTCAACAGGGCCGGACATTTCCCGTCAGGAAGCGGAGTACGCTTTAGCTGGCTACATCACGTTTCTTGTGGAAGTAAAGGATCTTTTCTGAACTTTCATACAAACCCAGAGGTGTGACCGTTCTGGAGGGGTGTTTTTAACGTGGAAAAAGTTTAGTTTCCTTCCCGATGAAGATGTTGAAGTAAAGTGGAAAGTGCAGACATGTAGCAGAAGACTCGTGAATGGAGGGATATTTCCAGCCCACAGGGGAGTAAAATGATACAAAGGGTCTTTGCGTCTTAGCAAGCTCTTAAACGTTTAGGTCACTTGGCACCAGTAACTAAATGCTGATTGACATGGCTTATGCTGTGTGTGTGTGAAGAGCAAGGTGACTCCTTTTGGTTTCAAAGTACCCGTTACCCCATCTATTGAATGTGAATGCCATCTATTAAAAACAGGCATTCTGGGGAATCACCTGACAGCCTTGGATGTGTCACATATCCTGGCAGCAGTTATCTTCTACAGTGACCATACCACTGCTCACAGTGTTGAACTGCCAACAGCTATTAGAATAGCATGAAGGTGCTGTACAGACTCAAACAAGGATTCCCTTTAGGATGAGGTCTTCACTGTCTCCTTTGGATCTCACAACACTGCCTTTTTGGGCACAACGGGCATCTTCAGGGGACCTTTCCCAACACCTCCAGAACTCCTCTAAGTCTACAGGGGACCCTAATGTGCACAGAAGAGAGATATTTCCAGGGCTTGACATCTAAATGTTTAAGTGCAAAATGATAACAGCCTGGCTGCCACACCAAAAGACTTGTCTACCGCACTGCATAACAAACAAGAAACCTCAAGAATTCATTCCCAACCTTCTCTGCATGGTTGGCAAGCCCACAGCGGGAGTTAAAAAGGGATGAGAATTCCCTATGATTAAAGTGCAACCTTTTAAATTACATACCGTGTTTTTCTGGGACCGAACTTTGTGGTCAGCGGAGAATCTGCATTTCAAAGAGTTTCCTAGCTACGCCCACCCATCCTGCAATCCTTTTATTTATTTAGACGTATTGAGTATACATGTCTGCTCCTGTGCACTTTAATCTGACTTACTGTAGTTTATAAGAATGCATGTGTGCACAACATCCTTTCTTTTTATATGCCGGATGGCCAGTTTGCACCGTTTTCATGGAGCTACTGCAAAATTCTGGTTCAGTGCAAACTATTAGGAATGTGCTACTGCACAAGGAAATGGACCAACAAGTGCCTGTTGTCTCCCGTGTCCATATCAGAGACTGTGCCGAATGTTTTTATGTAACTGGGCACAGAGATATGGGGTTGTGATGTAGGTGCACCACTTGCTGCTGATATAGTAAATGTATGAAGTAAAGTGTAGTGCTCATTGCAATTCACTGCATGTAAAATTTGTCCATTGCCACAGTGCCCCTGCCCATATTGAACTACCATTATATTGTAGTCACAAAGAGTACAGTGTTGTGAAAAAAAATAAAAATGTGATCATCTAATAATTACAGGGCTTAATTGCTATTCTCCACTTAACTCGCTTTGTGAGAATTTTAGATATTATTACATTTACTGCCATTAATTATATAACTGAAGTTAGATTAAAAATAGTTTTTTTTCTGAAAAAGAAAACTTGGGATTCCCCATTAATTCCCATCTACCCAGTACTTAAATCTGTACAGCATTCATGTGTTAAAGAGCAAGTTGTAACATTCTGGCAATTTTAAAAGAACATTAATGGTTTCTACTGTTTTTGTATTAGACTAGACTTATAATGATGAACCTGGCAGAGCAGACAGAAGGTCTGAAGCTGAACATTAACCACACATGGTTTTTCACTCCTCTGTTTAACAAGGAATTGGTTGGGGGGAGGTCATTTTTTATTGAATCAATATAAATGGGTCTAGTTAGAGATGGCAGCAGAGTGCTGCTAAATGACTAAAACCTTGATGGAAAAAATGTTGAGGGGCGCTTTAAATCAGCTCTCTGAGTTTAAAAGACTTCAGTGGTCTGTAGTGAAAGCCAAAATCTTATTAGGACATATTTTTAAAAAGGTCCGGTCAGAGTCCTGCTGGGATCTTTCTCTCGTTTAACAGCAGTTTTACTCCATATTATTTTTAATAGCTCTTTTCTGACGAGAGCTAAGTGTTTGGAGCCCATTAAGAGAAGACACTGCCTGATTACGCAGCCCTTGGAACACACATCTATAGAAAACCCAGATGGATGTGAGGCAGCCTTCTGGAAGAGGCAGAGACGTTTAATATAAAAGCTGAATTTGTTGCATTATTTATAATTGGTATGCAGATGGTATTGGATGTGCCAGCTTTTTTTTTCTTTCCTCGGGAAGCTGGTGCTGTTAAAGAAAGTGGATCCCTGGGAACTGGCATCTAGGTCAGGGAACATCTGCCAGCTCCCAGCAGTGGAACAGGGATGCGGAGGGGGGCTGGCGTGCAGATGGCAGTGCCATCTGTGGAGCCGCACTCCGCGATTCCATTCCCCGAGCTGCGAGATGCCCAGTGGAGGCACGGGGCCGGGATTTCTCCGGGGCTGTCCAGATGCAAACTGAGGGAATTCCGGGATGGTGGCGGGGAGGGGGATCTCACAGGTGCTCGATCTCTAACGGGGAAGCATCCCCCTGAGCCACTGATCCATTGCGACGCTCCAGCCAGGAGCGGATGGACCGATTTGGTTGTCTGGTTTTCTGTTTTATTTTTCATAGGCTGCCTCTCACTCAACTCGCACAACAATGCAGCATTTGTTGCATTTTCTAGTGCCTCTCAACACGTAGACACATCAGGAGAGGTAACCAGATGTGTTCCTTGGTGGACAGATATGAAGTTCAACATTAATAAGAAATAAGTGACGTATTATATTGCATTGCACACCTCATGTACACAAAGTTCTTATTTAGTATGTAAAAAAAACCTTCCTTCACATGTTCTGTGTAAATCAGCAGCTGATGCACACTTCATTTCTAAAGTACATGTAACTCATACATGATTGCTTTATTCCCCGACAGAGACAATGAAACACCATGAAATGCCCTAATGACCTTCCAGGGTCGTGACACATGTTGAACTTCCAACACATTCAAGCTTAAAGGTTGTGCTTCCTGTTCGCTTTTATCAATGTATAAAACACATTGAAAGTTCTTTGTGATTTTGTCTCAGATCAGTGAACTCCACAGCAGAGCCTCTGGCATTAACAAAGCTGTCTTGAAGCCTGAGAGGAAAGCAGTGGTGTGTTACAGCACTGGAAACACTTCTGATTCTTGAACACTGGTGTAAAAATCAATTTAATTGGCAGTTTCATCTCACATGTCCTCTTTTGTTATTGTTGATGTTTAATCACTTCAGAATACTTTTTTATTGGCAACATACAGAAAAAAATGAATAAGGAACACACACTCTCTCTGCCAGTCCAAATTAAGTCAAGGATGTGCAGCTTTGAAATACTCTCCACTAAGATGCCCCGATCCCATACTGTATCTGTACTAGTGGAAATTCTCCACAGTCTTACTGTAGTAGAAAACATCTGGTACTTTTGCCATCTTAAGGGAGTTGCAAGGTCTCCCTTTGTGGCGTACAGGGCTTATAATATTGAGACTGTGGAGACCAGAACTCTTATACATGTCTTAAGTCACATACTGTAGCTAGTTAAGCACTGTACAATTAACAGTTTGCGTCAACTTTCCAAAGGTAGTGTTGCTTTTTGAAACAAGCCTGGGTCTAAAGAGTTAAACTGTTCTTTATACTCAAGCCAGTCTGAGGGGCGAGTATAGGATGGAGAATTTAATCCCTTTCTCAATAGTAACAGGTTTCAGTAACAAAAACGTCAAAAATGTCTGTAATGAACTTTTTCTTTCTTCTCTTTTTCAGTCCTGGTATCTGGGCAACTGAATGCTAAGGATAATCCTTAGGGAATGGACACAGATTAGTGATTTTCGTGTGGAAAATTGTGAACGATGCAAGAGGGAAATCAATACATATATAAAGATGCTTCAACTCGCCTTCTGAAGGAAGAAGAGGAGGTGGGAGAGAAGACGATGGGGCAGAGTGAGGAGAAGTGGTGCAGAAACACTATCACCCCAGCAACATCTGCAGAGAAAGCACTTCTGTCACCTTTTCTCGGTAACATCGAAGGTGCAGCATTTGTCATATATGCAAAATAGTAATCCTTTATTTTCGTAAACTAAAACATTCTAACAGTCTTTCCAGCTTTTAGATGTTTCGGATTTTGTCCCTGTTTTTCGAAGAAAAAAATGACATGGTCTAGCCCAAATAGTGGAAAAAAAATATTTTTTCATTAGGTTTCTCAGACAATCATATATACCTTTTTTTAAAGGGGAGATATTTATGGAATTGAACAATCATTGCCACTAGATTTGTCATATCACTTACTGTTTCTTTATCACAGAGGAATTATGCACAAAAGCAGACCCACCAAAAAGCCACATGATAAACTGGATTTAAAGGAAGCTGTTCTGATTGGTCTAGGTTTGAACCTCTATTACCTGCCTTCTGTAGAATAGCTGATGTCTATTGTTTCTATTGGTCATGTAAAATACAGACAACACTCTATGGACCACTTAGGAGGAACGGGTTTATGAATGATGGGGTCTGTGAGTACAGATGACAGCTATAACTGGAATTCATCAATGAAGTTACAATACACAAAATGGATTGTTGACTCTTTTTATGTTTGTGTATTTCACACATCATAAAATGGCCAGCTCTCTTGCAGTCCAGCTTTGCCTCATGTGGTTTCTGGTGAAGGCTGAGGTGCAGCCTTTTTACTTTTCCTCTGCCGAACCAAGACACTAAACCATACTCAAGTGAGGACAGGGCATGTTTGACGAAAGGCCAAGAAGTGGGTTTGTGTTTGAGGTCTGCACTGCCTGAAGGGTGGTGCTAATGAGCCATTATTAGGCTATTACATTTCTGACATCTTTAGAAAATGTACAAGCACTTAGCGACAACAGAATAAAGAAAGCACTGAATAAACAGTGTATTGTGAGATGTACCTCTGATATCAGGAGGTTTCACACTACTGTGGTCTCCCCTCTTCCACGTGAAGTCCTTTGCCTCTCCAGATATAACAACATACAGTACTTCTTCAAGATGACTTTTACTCTTTGTAATGCACAGGTTCAAAGGCGAGAGACCATAGTGAGTGAGTTAAGCACCTTTAGATCTTCCATGTATTCAGGTCCCCCAGATGGATCCACTGTGAATACATGCAAACCCGCTTCTTTGAGTCCGACTGTGAGAGTGTCTGTTTCCAATTAGATAAATTTATCATTTAAGGCCAAATAATAACTTTCATTTGCGTAGTTTACTACAAAAGAATGCTGTTAAAAAGTTACTTAAAAGTGGCAAATAGTAAAAAGTGGCAATTAAATACAGAGTTCCACGTTTGCGTTGCGTATCAAGCCCTTCAGTAGGATCTGGCCATTACTGTGCCTGTGTGTCCTTCTGAGTAATACACAGTGTGGTTAGAGGGTGGTTCTACATTCTGCCTTCCATCTCTCTGCATTGCTTGCACTTTGGCCCAGATCCTTGCCTCCTATCTGTGGAACAGGAACCCGAGTTTGACTGGCTCCCAGAACCTTTTCCCCATCAGTGTCATCTCTGTCCTCCCCTCTTCCCCTGAGAACGGCCAGGAGCTCCTAAAGATATGCAACTGTGATTGGAAAACTGGTGCATATCGACGCAAAGAGGACAGGCTGTCACCCATCCCTGGTGGCATATCGAAACCAACAGAGACTTTTAAGTGCCATTTTCTGATTGCGATTATTGGAATTAAGTTGTAAATTGATTTTAATTCAAAACCCCAGTTTTGCTTAGATGGGGAATTTGACTGTGGAGAATTTTTTATATCTTCCTCAAAGCTAAAATCACATCTTCTCATCAAAAGGACTAAATGAAAAGAAATGACTTTAGAAGAGTGCAGCACCACACTGTGTATTATAAAAGATGTTCAACACTGAAATTGTTTTTTATAGTTTGTAGAGAAAGCTATCCCTGACATTTGCTTGAGTATAATACCCAATTCAAAAGACTAATCTTTAAATAATGAATCAAACATTTTTTTAGAAAAATTCCAAGCATTGATATTTTAAATATATTATCCTCACCCAATGTCATTTACTATTTCTTTCCCCACAATTAAACCCCTAGATCTTTGTAGAGTAATTAGTAGGCTAGAATTAGGGTTTATTTTGCATGATGACATAGCAAGAGAGTTTATACTTATACAGTTCTGTAACCGTGGTAAATGGCAAATGTTGCTGCAGTATTGGGTGTAGAAGAGAAAACTTTTCTTTTTTTGTGTATCTAGTTTAAATTTCATTGGAAATGAAAGGCATTGCACTACTATATAGTTAATTTTCTTCTTTAGCAGCTAAAATTCTCTTTTTTGCGTAATCATACAAAATGCTGCAAGTCAGAACTAGTATTAGGGGTTTATTTTAGTGACTAGTGTTTTTGTTTTCATTTGGTAGCAGGGTACATGACTTCTGAGTGTTGGCTTTCTTAAGCTATAGATATGATCAGAACTGTTGTTCATACCCCGTTTTGTTTCTTACGTTATAGATATGTTTCTTTGTGTATTTTGGAGTACTAGAGAAAAGCACCAGATTTGAAATTACATCCCTGAAGATGCCATGTATCTACACTGTCAATGTAGTCAAGAAATTCTGACACCCTGCTCAATGACATCTAGGAAACAGAATGACAGCCACTGAGGCAAGTGCAATCAGGAGCTACAATAAGATAGTCCTCTGACCCCCTGGACTGTAAACGCAGGGGTCAAATAAGTTTATTTTTCCTTGTTTTCGCAAAGCGATTTACTTTTAAAAAGTTTGTTGAAGCGTGCCCCTTTTTTCTTGTGCAGAGGAGAACACAGATGCCTTAGTCAATATTGTGATCTTGTTTTTTTTTTTTTCCTCAGTGTTCTTGATTTGAGTGTCAGTGTTCCTTTCTTGTTAGTTGTTACCTGTGTGTGTTCATAACAAGACTGCATGTTGGGAAAAACAGATAGGAAAAATAATTAAACCCAGGATAGAGATGTCAAAGCCTGTAATCGACGCTGGCGTCCAATCCTGGGTTAACTCTTGGTCATTGGGTTACCGTTTCGGTAGGCGATTGTGTGTGTTTGAGTGTGATGATGTATTGGCACACAGTCAGGACAGGAGGAGTGGGACTGGCAGTGGCCTCAGATGTCATGTGTGTGGTTTGGTTGGTGTGGATCAGGGGTACCAACTGGTGCCTGAGTCAGTTGGCATTGCAACACTATTTAGGAAACTCCAGCTGTGGGATTAGTGTTAAAAACATCAGGGCTTAAGACTTATTTACCAAACCCAACCATAAGCCATGAAAAGTGCCTAAGACATTGCAAGAGTTTTTTTTTTCTTTTTAAACTTTTCTCTTTTTTAATACGTTTCACTTAGATTCAGGTTGGTGACAGGTGACAGAAAACAGGTGTAAGGCACAGCGATAAGAATCGGAAAAAGGTCTGGAGTACACTAGCCCCTAGCCCATACAACTTTTATATACTTTCTTTACATGGAAGTCTTTCAAGAAGACAATTTTAACTGTAAAGATAAGCAAAAAAAAAAGGAAATAAATACAATTGAGCCCTGTACTTCTGCTATCAGCGCTTACATAATCAAACTGACATATCAAAGCAATATATATATATGGCTTCAAATGAGTACAGTCCATGCACGCTGGTTATTTTTTATAACCTTGGGTACTGCTTTGCAAATTTAAAAAAATCAGTGACAACAGCTGCAGATTAAACCTGTATTTATTAATAGAATACAAACAGTGACTCATTTTAAAGGTGCTGATCCAAAATAAATATATATATTAATGCATGGTGCTTTTAAGAAGAAATCATGTGATTTAGCTCTACTTGTCAGCATACTGCTGATACAACTGCATGGCAGATTCTTTAGTTAGACCTTCAAATGCAGCCCCCTGCTCTTCTCCTGAAAACCCATTTAACAGAACACAGTTTGTGCAGATGGGTTGTTTTTTTCTGGGTTTTATTTTCAGTTCCCTATCGTTAAACTTTCTTCTACTTTGCACGATATTTTATATACCACATTATGTGCCTTGCCTTTGGTAAAAGAATTCCTTTTTCCGTGTAATCAGTGTCACTGCACAAAAAAGACAAAAAAAAAATGCTGCATGTGTGATTGCTTGTCATTAACTGAACAGAGGTTGCCATTTGTATAAAACAGAAAAAAAAACATTTAAAAAAAGATCAGAAAAAAGGGGTTTTTAAATTCATAGAATATTGTAGTGGCACTTATCAGTATTGGGATGTTATTTCTGTTTTGTTTTTAAGTAGTTGTCTTGCCATTTTGGAATCATTGCCGCATTGTGATGTCACAAAATTATTTCCTGTTTTTTTAATTTCCTCCCCATATGTGTCTTCCAGCTTATATTATTGTAATAATATATGAAAATATGCAATACCAGTTTTGTCTTCAAAGATAGGTGTTTAGTTGAGATAAATCATTTTTTAACTATTTTTTTCCTTTAAATGGACAGTTACTGCAGAATTAATAAAAAGAAATATTGTTAGTTGGTATTGACCAAAGTTAGTTCTGCTCGCTACACAACGAGAGGTCCGTCTCATTTATGAGAAACTAAGACAACAAGGAAGAAAAGGCTTGACGTTTTTTGTTCTGTTTGCCTTTTGTTTTCAAGTTCGAGGCTAGATAAAGATGAAAGTAGAAAAAGGGTCAATAGTGGAGACTTGGGGTGGGGGGGGCGGACTTTTTATGGAAAGGCTGTGAAGCACTGTGCTGGACAAAAAAAACATTGAAGGCTTTCTTTTTTTCTGTCCATTTTCCATCTTGCATTTTTTTCTGATTCTTCATTATTTCGGTAAAAGGCTGTCGAGATCTATTTGGCAAAGAACTTCACAGCTTATGCTCGGGTGCCAAACGACATCTCTCTACCCTTGAGCTTTCCAAAGGAAGCATTTTGTCAATGGCCAAATATAGAGTTCAACCCTCTGCCCTGATTAAAAACAGCCCCAAGGTATTTACTGGTTTCAACTGGAAGACAGTTCAGATAAGCTGTACCAGTGGCACTTGTGTTGGCACTCCATTGTTTTTAAACATCACAGGCTTAGAGGAAGGCTGACTGGTTCTGAGGGTTCTGCTGGGTGAAGTGTACTGGACGTTTTAAATGGTACCCATGTGGAAAGGGCACATGCTAAATTGTCAAGTCCCTCTTTTTAGAACTGAGGAAAACATCAAAATGACATACTTCTTAAGCCCCTTTTTTCAGTTTTTCAAGATTTACCTGGTGAATGATAACTGGCACAAAACTCTGATGCGGGGTCATGAGACAAATTCTTTCACAAGAACGCAACCTCTTCTGTTTTAAGTGCACTATTACAGCCAGCCAAAGTGCTTCACAGCTCGCTGTCAGTCTTTATCGCTGACCTGGGCTGCTCGCGGGGAAGTCTTCGTTCCTTTGCTTTCATAGCTCCTTCAGATTGTACATAGAGAAAAAAAAAAAGAGAATAAAAAAGCAATAGTTTATGGGCATGCAAACAGCAGGGCAGCAGTCTTCAACGCTAATAACAGGAGAAAAATGTCAAGACATTTGGCTTGAGTGTGGGGGTTTGACTAGAGTGAAAATGAGTTCTGTTGGGCCCAAGAGTAGTGAACACTTGAGCACTACTTGGAAGATGTTGTGTGAGGGGGAAGGTAAACAGTGTGGCACAACTCTGGTGCAGCTCCCATCTCATTCCTACCATGTGCAGTAAAGCTGCCTTGCAGGGGAGGGGAAAGGGTGGGGGAGGGGAGGGTTCTGTAATTTGTAAGATGTATAGTTTTGTTAAGTACCTAACCTACCCTGTTTGTAAGGTGAAAAAAATATAAAAAGTTTTAAAAAAAAGTTCCATTACACTGGCTTATAAAGAATGTTCAGCATTATGTACCATTTTTTAGATTATTTTCTTTGTGGAAAGAAGGCAATTTCTGCTTAAAACTTGCTCTCTTTCCACATTCCTATGCTCAAACTAAAATAAAAGACATACTTTTATGGTTTTGCATATTCCTATACTCGGCAGGTATAGGCTACTGGCTCCAGAGTAAATGTACATGGAGGCAAAAAACTTTATTGTATGAAGAAACCATTACGTTCATCCTAAGGAAAGAAAAAAGACTTGCAGAAATTTTAAGGCATTTTATCTGAAAGCCGCGTTTTTTTAAATTAGAAGATAGGCTGTTCATTTTGTTACCGCTTAGCATGATGGGAGTATAAAAAGGGTTTTGTGTACTTTTCATAGGGTCAGAAAAGACCGTGTGAACATTTGTTATGCAATGTACAGTATTGTTTCTGCAATGGACAATGCAATGCTGGTAGCTAGGCTATATATATAAGTGTGTACTAATAACAAGGCAGAATAAGAGGTATTGTTTACATGCCTGTCTTAAGGCCTGGCACTGACAGTTTTCGTGCTCCATAGTGGCCCCTACTGAAAGCAGAGTGCCAAGGAAGGCATTCTCTTAGTCCATCAGTTCCATTCCCAAAAGAAAATGCTGCCATATCTCAGCAAGCAACTTTTATATTTGTTATACAGGACATGTGGTGGGGTAGGTTTTGCTAGTGGGCAGTTGAAGTGTTTTGAAGTGTATTGCTTCTGTGATTTTTTCATATATTGGTAGTTTTCTAATTATTTCAGTTAAAAAAAAAGAGTCCCAAGATTATGAATTATGTCCAAATCTTCCATTTTCTTTTAACATGGTGTTGCCTCTGTATTGTTTACAAATGTATCTGGGTTTTGCATAGAAGTATAAAACCCGCCTTGCTAAACCACAGCTGTAGGAGCTGCTGTCTAAAATCCTGCTCCAGGATTTTGTGTGAAAAATTAATTCTCATTCCTCTTGAAATGCTTTCCTCTACATATCTTCCCACTACAAAATTTTGGCGCTGTACAGAATTCTGTTTGTTGTTACAGATAGATTCTGTCATTGTGTTGCCACTAACCTGGGAGCAGTTAGTGGAAGTGTCTCTGTTCCTTGCCATGCTTTTATAGTCCCATCAGGTCAATCATTAGTACTAGTTTGGCTTTGCTTCTGTCTTCCCGGGCACTTGGAATGTTGGACCAACAGATCACAATACTAGAAACACTAAAAATTAAAACATCTGAGGAAATGTCATAGCTCTGAAGAGGAAAAAGTAGCTTTCATTTCCATTTTCCCACTGATAGCGGATGGGTGGTGAACGTACTGGTGCACTCTGGCTGCTGTCGTGTCATCCAGGTGGGGCTGCCCACTGGTGGGGGTGGAGGGGAGTCCCCATTACCCATCAAGCAGTTTCTGTGGAGTGTGCAAAAAAGCGCTATTTAAGTGTCAGGACTTATGACATTATTGTGATATATAGATGGAAGGGATTTGTTGTTGTTTTTGTTTTTACTAAACAGGAGCAGTTCATGTGAGTATATGGCTAAGGTGATAAAGAAGCTCAATTGGCTTTATGTACCTGTGACTGCTCATGAGTAAACCCACTTCCTCAGCTCATGTCCTGTGAAAATTTGCACTGTTCCATATTTCCATCGTCTCTGTTCAGTCTGTTGTAACTTCAGCCAGGGGGCCTCTGTGGGGAGCAGTGTCGGCGCCAGGTGCCACAGCATTAGTGAAGCCAACACCATTATTAGGTCTACAGAGCAGGAGCCATTTCTCTTTTGTACTCGGATAAGTCAACAGACACAAAAGCAGGGTTTACAATAAACCTCTTCTAAAGTGGCTTTTGGGGATTACTGAAGTTACTCCTGGGGAGGTGAATTTATGCTTGTCCAATCCTTCTCCGATTGAGTTCATGCACAAATATTTTTGGGATGAACTAGTATTCTGCGCATGAAAGTTAGGTGAATGCCTCTATGAGAGTATAGATCTATTTTTATGGAAAAATAAAGAGGATTTAAACATTGTTTTTAGTGCTACAAAATAATTTTCTTATTTTCCGATTTGTCTAAACCATATTGCTTTGCATAAGCTAATGAGGAACTTCAGTTCCTTAAAAGAAGGTGGGTCAGCTACGCTTCCTGGGAATGCAGCCTACTGATTGGTAGGGTGTACTAGTCATTGGTACTTCATTGTACACACAATGTGCCTTGAAGGGAGACATCTTTAATTGAACTTAACAGCAAGGACTAAGTAACTTCAGGATCACTACTTGCCATTTTAAGATGTGCCAGTTGCTTCAGTTAGCCTGACGGGAATATGCAAATTCCATCACCAGATTTTTATGATCCATTTCAGAGTTCTTTCTTTTCTGTTTTGCGATCCATGAACTTTTTTTTCCCACATCACAACACAAGATACTGAGGCCATGTACATCTCCACAGTTTTTTTTGGCAGATTGCACTAGATAGACTGGTATTGATGTTTCATGTAACAAAACTTCACCTGAGATGTGCATCTCTGGAAATAGCTTCAAAATTTTACCGCAGGAGAGCAAGGCGAAGAGAGAAACAAAACAGCTGTTTTAAATGTATTTTAATTTTTAATTTTCTTTCGTCGTGTTAAGTAGCATGTATCTACTCTACATGGGTAGCCAGTCTCTTTTTACAGCCTGAGAATAAGGCTAGATGAATTTAATTGTAGATATTCTGATTTTTTTTACTCATTATCAGACTGGGCTGATGGAGATTCTCTATCAGTCCTGGACAATCACGGCCATCTTTGCTTTGCCTTGTGTGCATGACAGGGGCTGCTGCTGTGTGCTCTGTCTTGCAGACGGTGGACTATGATGGTGGTTCCGGCAATTGCAAATGTCTGTCCTTGTAGGAAAAAGAAAACACTTTTTCAGTTTCAAAATTTTTCAAATACCACTCTGCTCTGTTTGCAGCTGGTTGACAAAGCAATGCAAATGTTATTTTTCAGTGTGCATTTCTGCATTCCTAAGGAAAACCTGTCTGTGGTGGGTCCGTAGGCTTCTGGGCATACTGATCTGGTTCACATCTGAAGAGCTACTCAATTAGACTCACAGCTTCAGTTTTCGTGCATGTGTATGACCAGAGGTTTCTGTATTTTAGGAACTAAAAGGGGGCAAATCCAGCAGATTAAGAAAGGGGAGCTTTTGGGTTTTGCCTACAGACATATTATACAGTACATCGGTCCTCTTATTTTGTCAATGCATGTTGAGTCACCTAAAAAGAAGCTGTGGATGTCTAACCTGATGTTTGACCGACTTACTTTATGCTGTTCGCAAAAAGGAGGATGATGAACATCAGACATCATAGGACAAACCCAGAGCCAAGTCATGTTTTCCATTTTTTTTTTTCAGTTAATACCCAGACTGTTTTCCTTGACTTTTCAAACCAGATTAAGTTGTATTTAAATAGTTCTTTCAGAACACGAGTTTCTTTTAAGACACAGATTCAGGGTCATGGTGTTACCTTAAGCAAGGGCTAAAACAGGCTGCCCAAACAGTCTCCATGTGTCTCCCTCATGGAGGCCTTCCTTCAGCTTTAAAACCAGCTGCAGGTGACATTTTTAAGCAAACTCCATAGGCAGATGCACAGAGAAGGTTGTGTGGATGGATTGAGGGCAGGGGCTGGAACATGCTTGAAACCTGTGGAGCAAACCAGACAAAGCTGTGCAGGAAAAGCTTTGTTCTGGGATGTTGCTTATTAAACAGTGAAGGAAAAAACAGTTTTACAGAGGGAAGCCCAGGTCACAGACAAGTTGTGGATGCAAAGTCCTGAGAGCTTGAGTTATGAACGATGCATTTTACTCAAGTAAGGCCTGATGCCAAAGGCCTTGCATCCTGTACAAGCTGATATCAGAACTTTGCACATTTTTTTCTTTGTTGTTCTGGTGCTCTTGGTGCTACTGGGGAGATCTTTTTACAGGGTAATTGTCACAGGGGCAACTATCTAAACTTTACAAAAGCCCATTCTTTTGAATTTTAAATTCCACATTCTGAAAGCAGTGTTATTATATACAGGACCTACTGGTTAAAATTTCTCTTACTTTCAGGTGTAGTTTGAGTCTGAGCTGCCTCACAACTACTTTGAAAGCAGGGATATTTGGATAGTTAAAGGAAAAATAAGGTAAGAAAGTCCCTTGTAAAATAAGATGGTGAAAGGATCTGACTGCTGTGTTGTGTACTAATGTGGATCTCCTTCTAAAAGCAGTTCTGCAAAAAAAGGAAAAGATATCAAAGTTCTAACATTTAACTCCACAACAGGGTTGATATTTCTAATGAGACACTTGAAAATCCCAACTGAAAATGAAAAAAAAAATTTAAGACCATTTCCCCCTATATCCCATTTTTAACTGGATTAGGGGCCCCTGTTCACAATTGACCCTGTTGTCATAGCAACCCCCATTAAGCACAGGTTTGCTGCACTGAGAGCAGCCCACACCTCACAGCTAAGGTTGGGTTTAAAGCCGGCATCTGGTAGAGTTTGTGCTGATAGCTTCATGGAATGCTGTTGTATGCAGAAGACGTTTTTTTTTTCAATAAGCCAGCAGGAAAAATAAAATATTTAAAGAAATACCAAAAATTATTTCAATAAGCAGTGCCTGTCATTTTACCGCTGGTTCCTTTTCTATGTATTGCTCTTTCTATATATATTATACTATATATATATATTCAGTCTGATAATACCGGAGTCATGTTTAGTTTGCTGGCCTGTGGGCTGTTCAGGGTTTTCTACCCTCCTGATACCTTTTCACACTGATCACTCTGCCCTGTGAACCTGTATTGTCATGATATGGTTAACAAACACAAGGCAAGTCTTCTGTTTCTGTGAAGGCTGCAGTCTTTTACTGCTCGACAATTTTAATTTGGAAAAAAACTATATATATATACACACACAGTATGTAGTCCAACTTGCAACAGGGTAAGGAATATGCTTTTAGAGGTATCTTTCATTTCCTAGAACAAATTATTACATCCACCTGATTTGGAATAGCCAGTTGTATGTTTTAGCTTGCTGCTACAAACCCTGTGACCACACAGGGGGGAGAACTAGGAACTTAAGGCAGACGCTCGTCTTTGAACACGTCACTTGTGGCACAGCCCCTAGTGGCAGCTGGCGTGCCCTTCCCCAACAGCGCTGCAAGCCTGCAAGCTCCCGAGATGAAGCAGGGTCCCTGTGTTGCGAAGGGACGATGAATTCCAACTTTTCTTTTCAGGAGGGATTTTCTTCTCTACTAATTCACAAAAAGAAAAGTCTTTACTTCCTACAGGGGGCTTGGGAGTACAGTTATTTAACAAAAGACTATTAAAACTGACCTGTTAAAACCTATTTAAACCAGGTCACGTGTACATTAACCTATCATGACAATGCTTGTGTTTTAATATTTTTTTTAAGAAAGGAACGAAAAGCATGCTGTTTTAATTTCTCTTTGCTTTGGAGAATGTTTATAAAGTTTGGAAAAAAGATGCAAAGTTTTGAGGTGTTTCTCTGAGGACACACTGCTGCAGTGTTAATTTTTAAGGGTTTTTCTCATTATACTTCACAAATATTACCATAGTAGTTTATCATTTATTGCTTGCTTGCTGCACAGACACACTACACACCAGGAAAGAGCATGTGGCGGTTTAGTTGTCCCAGTTCAGCAAAACACAAACCGGAAACCCATAGCTGGCTATCATGTACATGGTTCATGACAACATTTTGCAAGGATTTTTCTGTTTTTTTCCTTTTTTGAGTTGCAGGAAAAACAAAGATGTCAGCAACTGAAAAAGTGTTTTAGTAATCAGTCTAAAGAAAACTGCAGCTGCACCTTTTAATTGCAGCCTTTTTCTTGTCGGGCAACAAAATGCCTTTCCTCAGAACTAAATTACCACGTGTTTTCAACTGGTGTGGCAAAAAAAAAAACCGCTTTGACAATATTTGATTATATCATTGTATTCAGCCATTACTGTTAGCATATGCTCATAACTACATACAATTACTGGAAGTGAGTATGTTTCCCTATGCAAAAAAATGTATAAAAAAATAAACAAGCTATGCTACAACTCAGAATCTCAAGTGTGCTTGTGGTCTTTCTACCAAGAATATTTACCAAGAACGTTTACTGTAAACTGTTTTTTTTATTTCAATATTAATTGTGCCAGTCGTCAAGTAGCAATTTAAAATAGTAGTTAAATTCCCCTATATATAAAAGACTTAGCACCAGCTCTGGCCAAACAGAGTTGGTTTTTTTCCTATTTAAACATGCATGAAATACATTTTCTGATAAATATACAAATCTTGCACTTTGATACGGTTCATTCACTCCTGAGACTTTGTCAGTGTGATTCAGAAGAATCAGAAATACAATCACAAGCACCAACACAAACAGTCACAGCTCTGATTCAAGGCTAGATGGTTAAAAGTTTAACCAACAGTACGAATCATTTCTATAACTGTGGGCAAAGACATGCACAATGTTTTGTCAACACTATATTTTTAAACATTAGGGAGACCATTAAAATGAAATTCAGAAATAAAAATCCAAAACAGAATCATTAGTCTCATTACACCATAGTCTTTGAAATGGATATACTAGCTACCACCCCGTGTCCCCAAATAATAATATATTAACATAACCCATGTTGTGCATCCAGTAAATTTCTCCTTTCTCGTTTAAAACTAGCCTTGACAATGCAATGTTCTACCAATACCGTGGAGTGTTTTCCTTCCAATATTACAATCTATGAACCCTCCAATTTTCACAGCACCACAAATGTCAACTTGTGCAGAGCAGGCAGTTCTAGACCTTTTTGTACAGGCACAACAGTGAGTCTTCAAGAATCTTAAGATATTTTTACTCAATACCATTTTATTTATTTTCAAGCTTTCCTTAAGAATACAATAATCCAGTGTTCAGTTTTCAGTCATGGTTCTGGGGGTACACCTCTACTAATTTGTGACCTTAACTACTCCTGCTTGCTGGTTTCGACTTTTGTCTACACTCAGTCTTTAGTTTCAAAACTTTCCCAGTTAAACTGCATCGTTACCAATACCTTCAGCACACAGAATTTCATGATTAACTTGCTAAATTAAGAATGTGCTCCATTATTTCTGACTAAACCGTTCTTATAATAGGTGATTAATTGATGATCAACAGACACTGTATCGGACACTGTATGTAGTGTTTTTTTTCATCTGCTCACACCGGACTTGAGCTGAAAGGAAAGGCACTCTGGTTTTATACTCATTACAAATCGTATTCAGCTTTTATAAGAAATGAAAGAAAATGTTTTAAAAGAGAAGACGCAAATAGGAAATGAGCCTGTGATGAAAAACTTGTTGGAAGCAAAAAGCCAGAAGACATCAGGGTGACCCAGGACGAGAACGGAGAAGCACTGCACTGGGTCGTTTTGAAACCCAGGCCATGGTGCTGAAAAAGCCCAAACAAGCAAGCAGATCAATTACTGGCAGCACTTAACACGGGTGATTAAGGACCTAGTGGAACAAAACCCAGCAGACAAAGGGGGGAGCTCCAGGATAAGGACTGGGTAACTGCGCTAAACAGAAGAGTTCTCCGTCCCCTACACACTACGGCAACTGATACCAACAAATATGAGAGTACTGCAGTAAATGGAACAAAAAATGACATTGCTTTGTCATGCTAAATGTAGTGCAATGCTTGATTCCTTTCCATAGGCCTAACTCAAATAGAGACAAGTCTCAGAAAGGAACATCAAAAAACCACTGAAGTGGCAGTCAGCTGTTTGGCTTTCGCTCTCCAGCAAACGGATCCACACTGCACACAAACTAAGCCAGAGTCCGATATTAGAAAAAATATATCATTATAAAAATATATAATAGTCTAATACGAGGGGAAAAAAATCAATAATTTAAAAGGGGAATACATTTCATTCCCACAAACATTTTAGTCCAACTAAAACTTCTAATAATCTTTTACAAAACTAATTCTGGCAGTTTTGGCGACTAAAACAGATGCATGTGGTTCACTCAGATACTGGATAAGCCCAGCTGCCACTTGAGAAGAAAGATATCATGCTAACGTTTTTGACAGAAAGTATAAATCACACAGCCCCTCTGAAGAGAGTTCAAGAGTGCACAGAGAGCCTGCAGACATGAGCTCTTTGAAAGCCCATCAGATCACATGAACTTTTGACATTTCAGTGTCGTCCGCCCAAGACCAGCATGTCTTTCTCCCTGTAGCCAACTTCTCTGACCTCAGATAGGGCCATTAACACACTACAGACTGTACTGAGATTCTGTCAGTTCAATCTAACGACAGCTCACTTTCTGCAGGATTTTCTATATTATTTCACTACTGTGATCACCACAGGGCACAAATTCACACCTGAAATGAACAGGAAAATAAATGCAAACATAGCCGTAATTGATCACGTATTCAATTATTCCTTTGAACCCATGGCTGATTATTCCCTATATAATTCATCTGATACATGTTCTGGTTAAGGGTGATTTAAGTTAATAATACCAGAAGCAAATCCTATCTTTAATAACTATAATTATGCCTCGGTTTTAAATTGTAACCATACACTATAAGGCACGTTCAAAACAAAATCTGTGGTTCTGACTTTGCCTTAAACAAGTGATGGACCCTCCCACACAACAGGCTTTGACAGAGGTGCTAGAGTCCTAAGGGAACGACCTGGGAGCGAGACCACTGGCTGTAAAGCAGCTGCAACCTACAGATGGAGATTCACCAGTGGTCAATGGTCCTGTGTCCAAAAACAGTACTTCGGGAGAGGATACCATTTCAGACCACCTGTACGAAAAGAAGCCTAGAACAAAGCCTTCTGCCATAGCTCGGTGGATCCTTTGATAGGACACTCAAGCATGCGAGTCTCATCATCACTGGCCAATTCCGACGAGGGTCGGATTAGTTATGAGAGCTCGAATGGTTCTCGGTGACGCAGCAACCACTGAGTCTTTGTGGCACGGTCCACGAGACGCACGTCCCCTCTAATCAACGCGGTGCATTTCCTGCACGAGCCTATGCTGCCGGTGACATGCTACAAGACGGCTTTAAAACGGAGCAGGTGGGGAGCAGTCTGCCTTCGCCTGCTCACTCTCCCCTGTGTGCCGCCGTGGGGCTGGTCACTTCGTTTGCCTTTCGGATGCATCGACTATCAGAAACCGCTATTGAACTGGAAACTACGCTGCAAACGCACTGGGGATTTCCGAGGCAAGACGTTGAAGATGAACTTGCAGGTCAATAATGGGATGCAGGTTTGGCCCAGGAAGGTCAAGTACTTAGTTTTATTATCATTTGTATTTAACCACTTGATTCAACCTCCCAAATCCTTGTTTTAATATCTTCAAATAAACTCCTCTCTCTCACAAAGCACTGTTTTATTTGCCATATGTACATGAACATTGGGATTCATATTCTTGCTGTTTTCTCAGGACATGCACAGTTCTAAGACGTGCAAAGAACTAGAAATCTCACACCAGTCTTCTCTGGCTCCAAGTATTTTAGACATACAAAAGCCAGAATGAATTTGTTTTTTTTATATTGATTGCTTCCTTTTAATGGTGGACATCTTAGCTCCAGTGAGTAAATGGGAGAGGGTGTAAGATAAGCTGTTGGCCCTTCCTAGCTTCCAGGAATACAAAGGTTTACTTTATTCAGGATAAGATTCTGCATGAAAGGCACCTATCAAAACAAGATTATTTTAATGGTTTTATCTGAAACCCAGACATGCTAATTATTTTATAGATAAAATAGATTTAGTTTGTGCACTGTGTTATTGTGCATGAACAGAAATGTTCTAGACAATCTGTGTACTATTATTCTCAGTCATGTCCCTCCTTCTCTTCTGGCTCTGTGTATACTAGATGTTATGTCCAATTTGCACCCTGCGCTAATGACATCTTTTTTTATTCCTACTTGCGTATGGAACTATAAGTTTATGTATTTTAAATTATGAGCTATTATTATAATTTTGTGTATTTAAAAGAAAGGTTATCTACTTTCTGATTCTGTCAATTTTTAATAGTATTTACAGTATGTAGTTTTGGGGGTTTGTTCATACCCTTATCCACTTTTTATTTTCTTTTAGGTCTCAGCTATCTCTATCTCTAAAATATCACACATGTACAGTACAGGCTTTAATTCTGTAGACTGTTTTGTGTCCCATAATGTAAGTGTGGTGGTAAAGTGATTCATACATATAAGGGTATGTCAGGACAGCCCAAGGCCTACCACACCATTGCTCTTTCCAAACAGAACCTGTAAAAATCTCCAACTGGACAAACAGCTGCCTTCTGCAGCTGGTTCAGGGTCAGTACTGGCTCTCACTGGAAAATGCAGAAACATCCTGGAATTAATTCTGGAACACGCAACTCACAGAAGTTCAGACTGCACAGCCAGATTCCAAAACATGCTCTCCAAACAGCTTCCTCTTCCTCCGCAGAGATTAGCTTCCTGCACACAACATGCATGCTTGGAGCTTAAATGGGTCTCCTTAGGGCAATAACTTTAACTTGAAAGCAATAAATGAATATTTAAAAGGCTAAATTCTTTGTTTCATTATAATGATGACCCAAGTTAACTGATAAACGGAAACCCAAGGCAGCAGGAGAAAACTACTACAGAGGCATGAACTGTGACAGTTAAACAAGCTGGCATATAAATTTTAATGATGTGTTGATGGTGAAGGTGCTTTAGGTAAATTAAGTGTAGTATTTTTCAGTTACATTAACGGCAGTGTTAACTAGCATACAGCATACCATCTACTTTGATTTCAGAGAAGAAAGAGTGTGATCATGCACAAATTAATTAGGCAGGATGAAAATGTTTTTTATGTTTCTCCAGAAGTTAATTAAAGGCAAATGCAACTAACATCACTGCTTTTTTGCAAATTACACTGCCAGGGTACAATTGCATGATTAAAATTATTTCCTATCCAATGCAAAGTGCTTTGATTCTCACTGTATCTACTAGTACCTGGTATTGTGTAAAAATGTCCAAAGGAAAATGAGCATCCATAAAGTGAGACAAATTTAAACTTTTGAGAGCAGTGTTGTGGCAGGTC